GACTGTGAAGCCGGATTAGTAATAAAGTGTTGGAACATTTAGCTCCGATTAATATATTCAGACTGTGAAGCCGGATTAGTAATAAAGTGTTGGAACATTTAGCTCCGATTAATATATTCAGACTGTGAAGCCAAAAGTAGAATACTAGCTTCCCTAGCTGGTATTTCACAGAGCAGGTGTCATATAGGTAAACAGACGTCACAATGTCCAATAAGTAATAATACAAGGTGTTTCAGTACTGATCTATTTGGACGATTTTCTTCAGGAAGCAGGTGTACACGATGTTGTGACGATCGGTGTACGGACTAATTACATCACACGGAAGACAACGTACACGTTTCAGTGATTTGTTAAAAACTGACGACTTCATTTAGGAAGCCCCAGGACACACTGTTGTGACGACCGATGTGCAGACCAATTTCACTTCTCAGAATGATTTTGAAAGATGGATTTTACACTCATTAGAACATGTGATATACAAGTTGTCTACACACCGAATTCCACAACACAGTTTCCATTGTGTTCCAAAACGTCGGCCAGTGGTTAGCAGTTCGATTGTTCGGGGCTGTGGATCAATTTTAAGAGTGACAGACAAATACAACTATTAGGTTAGACAATAAACGAATACTATTGACTACCTGCCTTCCCTATACTCTAGACTTTTGAAACAGCCGGTATATAGGTGTTTTCGAGCTCTCATTCCCCAAAGAGAAAGAGCGTGTTGTGATGTGTGAAACACTCCAACCTCATAGATTTTCAGTTTTTATTTATTTTTCGCCTTTAATCTGAACGTTTCTGAAAATAAATATGTCAAATGAAACATGATTTGTTTCCGGATATTCGCGCAAAAATGAAGAGCCATCTGGAGTCTAACTTAGAACTGATAGATCAGATAGAAGGCAACTAGCTAGTCAATAGCGGGATTTGAACGTTACTCTTTGTAACGTACCGAGGGCCCCAAAATGCAGAAAGCGATTTTTGACAACGGGACGCGAAAGTTGGACCTGCAGATCCCGAGTCCGATACGCTAAACACTGGATCATGATCAGTCGTGAAAAAGAAGTGTCTGATTTGTATTTATTTATTTTTAAACATCTTAAGTATATACAGATTTTTCTGAAAGTGCGCATATATATATAATTTAAACATGAATAAAACAATTAAAAAAATATTTAACAACATTGAAATCTCGAACATAATTCATGTTGAACGACTACGAAATTCTGATATACATTCATTCGCGTCAGTTTAAACATTTGACAAACAACTCTTGTAATGGATGATTCCACAAAACGAAGAGAATGTGAAAAGAATAACATCGAAAGTTACCTCAAAATCAAATACAATGTTCTAATTTAATTACATACATTTTTAAACTGAATATTTTTTTTCTTTTAAAAATACCGTATCTAGTGGCTCCATCTCTTAACGATAAAAGAACACATCATATGTAGCAGTTCGGAAAAACCATAATAAATGGAACAAAGTAATTGATTGTTGGTTGGTTGTTTCAGAGCAAAGCCATGTTTGGCTATCTGCTGTGTCAACCGCGGGGAATCAACCCCCAGATTTTAGCGTTGTAAGCCCGTCAATTTACCGCTGTCTCATGTCAGAAATCAAAATGCTGCTTTCCAGTTTTCCCGCCAGTAGAAAACGTGGGACTTAATGTGTCCAAACTCTACCTGTTAAGCTCAAATGATATTATACGTGTGGTGCTTTGGCATGTCTTTTATTTACACAGCAATCCTATATTTATATCAGAAGTTCAAGAATAAGCAGCGTTGGTGCTGCTAAACTATTCTTGTGAATTGTTCAACCAGACAAATCTGTTTAAAAGGTTTTATTTATTTCCGGTATGGTATTATATAAAATTACCGTTTTCTTTTTCGTGCAAAAAACTTAAAGCTTTAACACTGATTTTTTTTTTACATTTTCAGTGCTATCAAATATTTAGTAGTTCAATGCATTGTCCGACTTATTATTTTTTATAATTTAAATATTTTTCAACTGATGGCGACACAATGTTTTACCAATTTGAAGTAAAAAAACAGTTATAAATAGAATTTTAAAATGTAATATATTTTTATATTCGCACGTATACATAGTACACTGATGCATCTTACACGAACTACGAACGTAAATACATTTTAAGTCTTTTTAATATTAATAATTCTGTTGCAAATTTCGATTACTTCGTAGGTATTGGTTTGTTTCAGAAGTTCGTGCAAAGCCACACAAGAGTTGTATGGGCTAATTTTGAGCTATTTAACGTAAGCTAACTTGAAAAACGCACCAACCACCAACTCTTATCTGATCGAACAGCGGGATTTGGCAATCATTCTTAAGATCAACAGCTGTATGTCTGCGGATTTATACCGCTAGAAACCTGGTTTCGATACCCGTGGTGGGCAGAGCACAGATAGCCCATTATGTAGCTTTGTGCTAAGTAATAAAAGAAACATTCTTAAAACGTACTCATGGCCCCCAAAAGTGCGGAGAGTGTTTTTGAGGCAACGGGTCGCGAACCAACAACTCGATCATGTCTGACCCAACAGGTGTTGTAAAATAATAGTTATGTAGTTCTAGGAACTTAGGTGAAAGTAAAGATGAATTTATAATACCATATCAATATACTATATTTGTCATTTCCAATTACGATGAGGCCTTTCGTTAATACCTCGATTCATCATGACAGCTAAGACTTAAAAAACAAAACAACTTTGTTTATATTGGGTTTAACGTGATACCATACAAGTCTTCACAAGCTTGCAACACAGACACAGTGATCTTATTTTAAGTTCTCTATTCGATTTCTTAGGCCATTTTTTTTCAGTATTTGAAGATTATTAATAGAGATATATTGATCTCCAAGTTATTATATATAATCATACAAGCTTAATTCATGTCCCTCTCAGGTAAACGCAGAAATTCTTTCAAGCTGTCAAGAACTGCATATTAAATATATGAAATCTGGATTCTACGTAGAAGCTAGTTATAACAGAACCCTCCGCCAACTCGTCTAACAGATGAGTAGGGATACGACCCACACTATTAAAGCGCACCCACGGTTTCAAAATGCAGGGCTTTTTTTTTTCTGAGTGTGTGTGGTAACAAGACGCGAACCATGAATCATCGGTTTCACAATACGAGTACACTAACCTACAAGCCCCGCCATATAAGTAGTGTATAACCATAAGTCATGTTAACTCAAACAGTGCCAAAACAGAAAATATCAACACAATTTACTTTCAAACCCTGTGCTTAAAGAACGGAAAAAAATATAACCATTAGATACAACCACGAAAAGTACACCTTCTCCCGTATCTTGTAAAACTCGTTTGTTCGTGTTAATTAAGAAGAGCGTTAATACACAATCTACACATTTTACTTGTTTAATCACAGCTGTTAAAACTGTACGCTAAACAGGGAATTTGTCACGAATTAACAACAGAATTATAAGTGTTAAATACACTAATCTACACAATCTACACATTTTACTTGTTTAATCACAGATGTTAAAACTGTACGCTAAACAGGGAATTTGTCACGAATTAACAACAGAATTATAAGTGTTAAATACACTAATCTCCCGGTAGGTCAGCTGTAAGTTTACGGTGCTAAAATCCAAGGTTCGATTCTCCGCGTCGGACACAGCAGATAGCTCAATGTAGCTTTGCGCTAAAACAAACAAACACATTGACTCTTAAAGCCAAACAAGCACCAATTCAGGAGTTACATTTATGAAGTGTTTTAATAAACGTACACACACACAAATATTCCTTTTGCAGCTCCTTTAACAGAACTTATCAGTCATTAAAATCGAAAATTGGCAAACTAGTCCATCTGGCTTGTTTGATGATTTTTCGACACAGTCTGGCTCAGATACCACTGTACAGTTCGGTCGTTGATGCCGGCGTTACGGGAAAACATTAGCAAATTGGCGAATTATTTTACGAAAGCGTTAACGATTGTTTGAATGAGTTCCAGAAAACTCAACATACATCCATCATACTGCTTTGCACAGTTTGCTTGATCTTGTCGTCCATATCTTGCAGCGAGTTGGTACTTTGAGGCCACATTCAGAGGTTCTTCAGTCTCCAAGTAAGGCCTGGAACGAAACAATACGTTAGGGTTAAAAACTTTGCAGTACACACACACACACACACATACGTAATGAATATGAAACACGGTACCAAAACAAAATAGAGAGTCAGACAGACATTGGACACAAAATTTATTAGTTTGTATATATGTATCTATCTCTGTATGTGTGATGGTTTTGTATGTAAATTAATATAACTTTTAGATCAGGTAATCATTCTTTGTTTTCAGCTCCACAGTTCTCATGTCAAATTATTAAAACAGTGGACAGCTACAATTATGCTGCTTTTGTAAGCTGTAAAGAACTTTTTGTGACAAGACAAAATGGCGGATCTGTTGAGTGTTTAGTTTGAAAACAGTTATTTTGAGAAGCTTAAATGGAGATTGATTTGTTGATGTTCAACACAAAGCTAAGAATAAAATAGGCTACTTGTGCTCTGCCCACCGCGGGTATCAAAACCCGATCTTTAGCGTTACAGAGAGAAAGTGGGATTACTGGAATGAAAAATGACAGTAACTTTTTGGCGTTACGTAGAAAAAATGATTAAAAAAATAAACGTTTACAACTCACATTTTTTTTTATTCTGCAACTAAAACTTTTCAGACTGAAACAAATTTAGTACGTTTTACCATTTTATGTACAGTAAATCATTAGTTTTTAAATAGAAACGTCTGGCACATTCTTCTCCAAGTCGTCACAGTGAATTCTAGTCTTTTTTGAAAATTCGTTGTTGGGGTTTTTTTT